TTTTCAACAGCAAGCGACGAATCTAAGCATGTAAGTAGAAGAAATTGAAAACATAGCGAAATACAATGCTTTGTTAAAGTATTACATTTTTTTAAAGAGGTATCAGTTCAAAGAACAAATTACCTAGCCATGATATCATATGACACTTGTTATTGAAAGAAATCGTAAGAAGAATTGGAATAGAAATTGTATTTTTGGTAATGTTTTAGCAACAACATCAAACACACACATATATGTTGGAATTTAAGTGTTTTTGTAAGGTTATCTCTTTCATTTTTCAATTCTTACCATTAATTCACCCACACACACACACACACACACACACATATATATATATATATATATATACTAGAGGAACCGACAGACGTTGTCCTGTACACACATCTTAAATTCAAAAATTCCAAATTTTTATGAATAAGCTTTAACAATCTGAACCGTTTTGAATAAAATTTGAGTAAAATTGAGTAAACTTTCACACACTAATTACATCTGAATGTAATAATTTAATTAACACACGATTTATTTCAACAAAATAATAACACGAAGTCACAAAATATTTTCCTAAAATGATCACAGCACCTACTGTTGGGACCAACTTGAATTATAATAAAAGATTTTTGAATATTCGATACTGCGATCGTAGCGCAGTCTGCCGGATCCAATGTAAAACATACCAAAATCAACAATTTATAAATAAAAAATTAATTAAATAAAAATTTCTAAACCGAATTATAAATCTAAACCATTCTCGAGTCCACTGGAACAGACAAAAACTTTCATCAAAATCGGCCCAGCCGCTTAGGAGGAGTTCAGTTACATACACACGCACAGAAGAATTACATATATAAAGATTATTTGAATATATATTAATTAAAAACGCTAGAAAGCGTGAATCGTCTGCATTTTCGTAACATTAAAGACCGGGTTTGGCCAGTTTGGCTGAAAATCAATTTTCGACGCCAACTTACGTCTTTTTCTATTTCTACTATTAGCTGACGATCTCTATACATATTTTATTTGTTTGTTTGTTTATTTATTTATTTATCTTGGTGGAATTTTCAATCGTTAATAAAATACATTTTAAAGCGCTCAATTGAGCTGAAATGTAATGTACATGATTATTTTGGATGGCAATACAATAATGTTTAATTATAATTAATAAAAATTAATTGATTAAAACTAATTATTTAAAAAATTACAAATACAGCCACGTAGGCGACTTATGTCAAAATTCACGTGTTAAAGCATTCAGTTGAAAGGAAATTTTATATACACGATTGTTTTGGATGACAATACGATACTTAAATGATAATTAATAAAAATGAATTCCCGCTTAATGTTGTGATTCTGTCATATGTATATACATATTTATATTAATTGCAACTATTTAAGAGGACTCGGCACCTTTTTTCAATTTTTTTTTATTTAAGGGTTTTAAAATATTTTTTTTGTATATTATTAACAGTTACAACTAAACTAAGAAATTTCACCATGAAAAATTCCTAAATTTAAAAAAAATTTAAAATTTAAAGTTTTTAAAAATTTTTACCGATTTTCAAAATTCTTCTTCTTTTACAATTATCATTATTTTGACACCAAAATTTTTTTGGATTTATTAGACTATGAGTAATAAGTTTAGGGATCGATTTTGCAACAAACAAATTAGTTTTGGAAAAAAATAAAATGTAAACATTAATGGAAAAAAGCTAAAAAAACATGACTTCTGCTACATTTTCTTTTATAAAATTTTTTTTATTCAAAATATTGAAAATGGATCCCTAATTTAATTAAGCACATTGTAATAAAGATACACACCAAAATTCAAGTTGTTTGATAAATATCTGTAGAAGTTTTGTACTTTTAAAGACCATGATTTCATGAAAAAACTCGAACTGAGAAAATGCATTTTTAAGAATACCAATCAGCAAATATATATCAAAACAATGTCTAAATTTTGTAATAATTTTTCAATATGTTGTATAAATATATACCTTTAAAATAAAACATAATACAATTCAATTTCAAAATATTAAACAAAAATATAAGCTTTTTTTAAAGTGCCTGTCTGTGAGCCCAAAATTACGAAAAATAGGAAATATCATTGTGACTTATTTTTACAAGAAACATCTATGAAATATATTAAAAAAAAATGAAATACATGAAATAAATGTAATAAAAAATACATGAAATGTACAATAGAACATTTAAAAGCTTTTATAAAAATAATTTGCTACTTAAATCAATATCTAAAATAAAATAAAGTAAAACAAATTTATGCTAAAATGTATTATTTTTTCAAAACAGGTTTGTTTTAAAATTGGCCTGCGCCATAATTCACATTCCTTCTCTCCTCCTAGCTAATAACTTTTTTATGTATTGCTTTTTTAATAAGTTTAAGAGCCAGCTTATTACTGGCATTTTGACGACGTTTTCTAAATTTTTGTTTTCGACAATCTAAGATAGTAGCAAGTTGTTTCGTTGAACCTCCAGTAGCTACACCTAATGCTTTCTGTGTTTCTACAATGGTGCGTACTGTACCCTTATTGTATTCGCAGACAGCTTCTGTTACTGCCCGCTTAACACGTCTTTTGTTTACGAAAATTTCTTTCGGACACTTTGCCCAAATCATGCTATGCAAACTTTCGTTTGCATTTTGTGTTCCACATCGAATGCATCTTTCTAACAATTCATTAGATGCAAGTCTTTGATAAATCGGTAGAATTTTTGGAAGAAACTTTTCATTTATTGGTGTTCCTACATTTAATTTATGATTGTTAGGTTTTTCCCCATTAGCAATCGCAGATTGGTAGAAACACCATGAGTTTTCTCCTGCAGGACACTTCGAATGTTGAGGTTTAGCATCTGTAGAAATGCTATGCAACAATGTAGCATATATTGCTGTTTTCATAGCATTCACATCCCCTTTGTTTCTCAAAATAGCCTTTTGGTAGTAAGTAGTTAATTTTTTAATCGTGGCTTCTTTCAAACTACCATGAGCTTTACCACCTAAAGAAATACCTTGAGCACGACAGTCTTTTACAGTAGATCTCAAAGCTGTTCCTAACCGCTTACTAACATGATTAATACATTCTTCCTTTTTATCACAATGTCAGGTCCATACACTTTTTCTCGCACAAGTAGTTAAACGTTTTACAATCACCATCGGATAATACTGTAATATAACGGAATCAAGTGATGTGGATCTTTTCCACAAGGTTAATGCAGCTTCCATTTCCATTGATGTAGATGAGCCCAAGTGATTTATATCACATTCGCTTTTATGTCCTTCATACCATATGCTGAATTCAGCACTTGACTGGCCTAGCTTATTTTTTGCCACAGAGCAATGACGACACACACCTTACTCATCACTTCAAAGTCAACAACATATCCGGTGAGCATATCTATAACGCATCCTACACCGATAAGTGAGGTGTGACCACGAGTTAGCCACGTTCCATCAAAACTAACACTTAAGTCTGTGATTTCAGCTCCATTCTCGTACACATTTTTAATTTCTCGGTGGATTTACGCAAATATGTTTTCAGATGCCAGAGTATATGCATTATCCAGCCGTCTCACACACTTCCCATATGTAGTTGATGAAAAAGGATCTATATATTCATCACCATACAAAATTTTTCTATAGCTGAATAACCTTTCCCAATATGTGAAAAAGCTTGAGTTATTCTCAAATTCACATCATGGCTGGTCTGAACAGACTTTAGAGATGTGTTTACAACAGTTTTGTTTTCATCACAATTGCTACACAATAGTTTTAAATTGTATGAAAATCCCAACTTGGCTCCAAGCTCCAGTTTCAAAGTTTGTTTTTCACAATATTGGCACTTTGCACTTCGAAGAAGATTGTTAACTTGGTTAAAGTCCACCAATATATAATTTACAATAGCAGAGGTATCCTTTTTTACCACAGTGTTCAATTTTTCCAGGCGTACATTTGAAAAAACTGAATTTTTGTTCACTTCACAATCAACTTTCGCTTTACACCATCGCTTTTCATTCATTTGCAAAGCACGTACTGAACGTTTTCTAAGAGGCATATTAGCGATAACAACAACTAATAAAATGAATTATGATTGAAGTAGCATTAAAAATGCTGTTTTAGGTTTCTATGAAGTTAAAAACTAATGAAACTAAAAATCACACAGCAAGCGAAAATGGCAAAGCTAATGTAAATAAACAACTTTGCTGATAGTTACAGTCACAGCTTAATGGATTCCTCTGCTTCTCTGTAGTTTTTAATGTAAAATAATGGATTTATTCTCAAGTAAAAAAAAGGTAAACATTGAGGTGGGCGTGGCATTTAAACTGCTGACAGAGCTGTCAAAATATTTAAATGCATTTTACTGCGTTTAAAATAATCAGATCGTTTCGAAACTTCCCTCAATTGTACCAAAGGTATCAAACTACATTTTAAACTAAAAATTGAAAATCGATATTTTCATCGATTTTCGGTTTCTGAAAGGTGCCAAGTCCTCTTAATAAAAAGTAGCTAAAATAAATTTTTCTTGGTTGATCTAAGTAGAAATTGATTTAATTTTTTTTATATTACTTGTTTATAACAATAGCGCTGTTACAACAATACAGGTGAATGTTGATTAGTATTTTTGAATGTTTTTAATTAATATCTTTTTAACTAATTGCCATATAAGACCGAATTGTGAATCTAAACCATTCTCGAATTTACTAACCCACACAAAAAATTTAATCGAAATCGGTCCAGCCGTTTAGGAGGAGTTTAGTGAGGAACTCTCACGCACAGAAGATTTTTATATATAAAGATATATACCTTGTTTAAATTTTCAATCGTTAATAAAATACTTTTTATTCATCCATTCAAGTTCAAATGCAGTTTTTTGAACTTGTAGTGAATGACACTTGATGTTAATACAGTTTTTTTCAAATATTAATTAATTAATTATTACTAACATAAATAATAGTCTAACACCATATATATAAAAATAAAAACAGCTTTTTTTGTCCCTGTAGCGCAATGGATAGCGCGTTGAACTTCTAATCCAATGGCCGAATCCTACCTGGGATAGCCTAAATTTTGAGAATGTTATATATGAATGAATAAATAGTAACAAACAAAAATAATAATTTTCCAACACCATATATAGAAAGGAAGATGGAAAATCGCGTACTGTTTTGTCACTTAATATTGTGATTCTGTCATATGTATATGCATGTTTATATTAATTGTAATTATTTAATAAAAAGTAAATAAAATAAGATTTTTCTTTGTTGACCTAAGTATAGGAATTAACTTGAAACATTTTTTTTATATTACTTGTTATTGCTTCATTCACTGAAATGAGGATTTTACTTCTACCGGGTATTTCAAAAGTCATGCACATCAATCTTTGTGGTTGAGTTTTAAAGACAGATGAATTATGTTAACAAACAAAATAAAGGACAAACAAAGGTTGAACGGTTATTCTTATTGCCAGGTGTCAGATATGGTAAAATAACAGTAAATGTTCAAAATGATGTCCGTTTTCCTGATCACACAATCGAACTTTTTTTACCAGTTTAATTGACACTTTACGAAGAGTGTAAGAATTAATGTCCGATATTGCAGGAAAGATGTTACGCTTAAGTTCGTCAAGCGTATGGGGATTATTCCTGAAGGTGACAATTTTCAGATGTATCCAAAGAAAAAAAACCCTGAATTGACAAGTCCGGTAAACGAGGTGGCCAAAGTTCTTTGGAAATGACATGATCATCGAAAAATTCAGTTAAGACTTTCATACTGTCACGTGATGTGTGTGTGATACGTTGCACCGTCTTGCTGCATCCAAGCGTACCTTTTATTACTTTCAGCTAGGATAGGAATTCCGTAATGATGTTTATGTGGACTGACGATCGTTTCAATGGACTTCTTTGTATACCGGTCTCCACATCTGCCACTTTCGTTTTCACTATGATCGCTCAACCCGATCGCTACCTGTATGCAACCGATCCTGTGTCACCGAACCGTTGCACTAAGAGTGTTATCATTGATGCCTTTGGTGCTGTTTCACTTGGATATTTCATCTGAAATGCATTATCAAATATACTGAAATAAAATTCCACGACGGCTATTATTTGCTCTCCGTAAAACATCGTGCACCTCCCGTTACGCTCAACTGACTGCAACTGACAAGTATTTTGAAACTGATGCCTGATATATTCAAAACCATCTGTTGCCATCTAATGACAAAAACTCAACCAACCCTTTTGGGTTTTAAGCAACAAGGATGGACAACCATGTGGATGTGCGTGACTTCTGAAACACCCGGTACAAGAGTGAGTTCCCTTCCCGAATAAATTTATTTTATTAGGTAAGAAATGAAATAAACTCTGCTTCTTCTAGTTTTATATATAATTATCTTTTTGAACAGCGAGATAGGATTAAAAGAAAGACAAAATTGAATGTTTCGAAATGTGTTGAATCTGAATTAGGAATTCACCATTACTGTGGTATTGTAGTTAGTGTTATCTTGTGACGGTGGTAGCCTAGTGTTATGGTCACGATCTCGAGACCGACGTGTCATGAGTCTAAGCCTAGCGCCAATGAAGATTCGTCGTGTTGAGAAGTTGATGTACGTTTAATTTTTCCAAAGTTTAATGTCTTCCTTTGGTGTGTTGTGGTAGTTAAAAGAGGGAGGTACCGACTCAGGTGTCTTCATTGTCATTTGGCCGCCGAAGCTCAAATTATGAGGTTCGTCTCCAATAGCCCACGCGTAGCTTTATATTGCGACTTTAATATAACTTTCTGTCCATTTTTTCTTTTTCCTATAGAGATTTTATTCTGTTATATCCCTCAAATAGAGATATTGCATATAATTTATCTATACACGTAGATAAAGGAGAAAAGTGACTCACTCATCACGATATCTCTAAAACTATTAAACCTACTGACTTGAAATTTGGTAGGCATGCTCCTTTCATGGAGAAGAGATCAGCTAAGAACGAATTTTGTGAAAATCTGAACCCCAAGGGGCATTATAAATAACTGTTTCCATTTTTAAACTACTGGACGTATAGTTTTGAAATTTGGTATATATATATAAGCGGATTCCTTTCACATTGTAGAGATCCGTTACAAAATGCTCTTTACAAAATTCAAGACTCAAGTGGCGTTGCGGGGCATTAAGGGGCGTAATGGATAAATATTTCCGTTTTTAAACTATTAGACCTACCTGTTTGAAAATTGGTAAGCATGTTCCTTTCATGGAATAAAGTTCCTCTAACAAAGAGTTTGGCGAAAATCACACCACAAGTGGGGGGGGGGTCAAGGGGGTGTTATAGGGAAATATTCCTGATTTAAAATTGTTATACCTACATACTTGTTATTTGTTAAGCATGTTTTTTTATTGAATAGAGATATACTAAGAAGGGATTTTACGGAAATCGTTTCCTGGGTTGAGGGCTATTGGAGCGTATTGTTAAAGAAATTCCCGTTTTCAAATGACTAGGATTATTATAATGAAATTTAGTTTTTTCCATGTTTTTTTTTGCTGAATAGAAATCTGCTAAGAACGGCTCTTTTGGAAACCGAACCTCAACGGGGTTACGAGGCGTATTGATTGTAAAAATTCTGCTCAGGGTTTTGGTATTCATGTTTATTTTACGGAGTAGATCCACTTAAAATAGGTTTTGCGGAAATCCACTGTGTTACGAGAGCGCAAAAAAATATTCTACTTCAATTTTAGAGATTATTAAAATGCATTAATTAGAAATTCTGTCCTTTTTATATCAAGAGGCGAGAGGAGTTATAATTATATTTTACAATACTATCGTTTTCTTAATGTAGGACTTCGATATCATTAATACACACACACACACACACACACATATATATATATATATATATATATATATATATATATATATGAGCGGGTTGGTAATGGCTAGTATAAATATAAAGAATTATTAACGTTTCAAAGTCCAATTGATACGTGTATGTTGAGGTGATGATCCCCACTTCCTTGATCAAACTATATCGTGACTCTTCTAGGATCATATTGAGCTCTCTGAGGACAATGAAATACTAGCCTGGTTATTCAATAGTCTTTCATGTACAAGCTTCTAGCCTCCAGTCAGGATGGCTGCTGATACAGACATGCGCATTTAAGATGCATTTCTAACTATTAATGTACCACGCCCTGTATTCATTGTCTTTAAATTTCTTTTGTGATAAAAGCATATGAATAAAAAAAAGAGGTAAAAATAATTTAAGCATCTTTCTTAAAAAAAATTTGCTGAATATTACATTAATTTTAAAAATTTATTACACACACATTTCATTTTTTTAATCTTTAATTCTTCCTGTCTAAGCATACTTTCTTTATTTTTATCAATCTGTAGTAAAATCAAGACAAATAAATTTAAGCTAGAAATAAAGTTTTTTCTTGCAATTCGATTATGAAATTTATATTTTCATTTTTTTTTAAAGTAGAGGTAGTTAAAAGCAGGAAAAATATATTTTGAAAATAGAATAACAATCATATTATTTTTAGAACAAAGATATTAAAACGCAAAAAATGTAGCTTCTACATGATTAAATTTTTGAAAGAAAATATTTATCAGATAGAAAACTTAAATTCATTTTTATTTTGCTTTTTTTGTGTTGAAATAGTATACATTTTATAAATAATTTCTTAAATTCCAAAAAAAAAATGTAGTGCAATTTTAAATAGAAAACATAACATTTCCAAATGAAATTAGAAATTTAATATCTCTAAAAGTCGTTGAAAAGAAAACCATTTGCAATTTTAATTCAATTTAATCTATTTTTTTAAAATTGCATTATTCTTCTCGTTGACAATTGTATTGAAGTTGCCATATTTGCTTTTAGAGAAGAATATAAAATATTCAAATATATATATATATATATATATAATTAGAGAGAGAGAGAATGTAAGCGAAGAGACAATTTAGAGATTTTTGGAAAAATATTAAGTTTACAAGAGAATCGTTACATTTTTCTGAACAAATAACTAAGGAGACTCGTATTAATAAATAAAACTAAAAAAATATTTTTTAAAATAAAAAATATTTTTGTAAAAATTTAAATGATTATCATAGAAAAATACACATACTAAAAATATTCTGAACTCTATTTAGCAACAAAAGTTTACAACTATCAGTTTTTTTAGAATCGGTTGGCTTTTTTATTTATTCCGGGAAAAGCTGTCGAGGAATCAAAAGACTAATATCAGTAACAGATGTGGGATTAGAAGATATAATCGTATTAATATATTTTAGATTAAAAAAAAGATCTATATTTATTTTCCTTCGTAAATGTAAGTATGATTTTTTTTTAAAAAAAATATTTTATTCTTTTTAATTAATGTTTAGAAAACATTTCATATTTTCACTTTCTTTTACATTTATTTTATAAAATGTGCATTATATACACCTTTATTCTTATTTTATCGCGAGAGAAATTAAATTAAAATTCGAATATTTTAATTTCTTTCCTATGCCAAATATTCTAGTATTTTAACACCTTGCTCTATAACTGCTATTTTCTCAAACTATTTTAAACTGATTTTTCTTGTTTCTTTAACTCAATGAAATTTAACAGAAAATTAAAAATATTTAGGCAAAAAAAATTTAAAAGACACACATCTCTGGAAAATTCTAACAATAAGATTTAAATCGTTGAGCTTTAAGTTTATATGATCTGTCATTAAACAAATCAATAACTTATCGTCTTGATTAAGCTGAATATTAACTAGAAAGGTGTAAAACTAAGGGAGAATCTATAATAACAATAGGTGAATCTTATTGGCTTTCAAGGAAAATCAATTCATTAATTCGAATTCTTGATAATAGATATTATTATTAGATATAACGATTGATTAAGGCCAAATAATGCCACATCATCGCATTTGAAAACAGACAGGTATCACTTTGATTGCCAGTGAAATACAATTCCATAGAAAAAAACTTTTTCAAAGCACAATAATTCCGGATATATTTATAAACCTTAAAAATTCTAGAAATTGAAAATTTTTAAAATATTTTTCAGATAATGATTTAATAGAGAAT